GTGCAGGAGGCAGCCGATCAATGATTCTCTCTCATCATTGATGTTTCTCTCTCTCTCTCCATCTCCCTTCATCTCTGAAATCAATAAAAAAATATATTTTTTAAAAAACAAACAAAACATAAGGAATAAGGGGCTTGGCCCTTAGGTGACACACCTTGTTAGAGGTGGTGTCGAGACTCAAACGCAGGATACCCAGATCTAACATCCAAAACCCAACACTCTCTCCACTACTCCTACTGTATCCGGAGGCTGGATTGTCACATTTTTCATGTGGACAAAGTTGCTGTTTGAGAGGAGCAGCATGTCCGCATGTGAGGAGCACAGCCTCTAGAGCAGTGGTTCTCAACCTTCCTAATGCCGCGACCCTTTAATACAGTTCCTCATGTTGTGGTGACCCCAATTTCATTGTTACAAATTGAACATAATTAAAGCATAGTGATTAATCACAAAACCACATGTAATTATATATGTGTTTTCCGATGGTCTTAGGCGACCCCATGTGAAAGGGTCGTTCGACCCCCCAAAGGGGTCTCGACCCACAGGTTGAGAACCGCTGCTCTAGAGTCTTAACTTCAAACTCCGCTGACCCCTTACAGGCTGTGTGGAGCTTCCTGGTTTTCCTACGGGGCTAGCCATGCCCACCTTGCCGCATTGTTACGGCAATAGAGAAGCAGCAGGTAAAGCCCCTACTAATGGCTGTTGCACAGTAGGGTTAACTGCTTACTGTCCTTCAGAAGTGGGAGCACCTAAGTTTACAGCTTCTCTCTGGAACAGTAACTAGAAGCTGCCAAGGTAGAAGGGACACCAAGCTCTATGGGGTCCTCATCGTGTTCCTGTGTTAATCCTGAGTACTGTTTCCTAGATCGTTTGCACATCTTGTGATGACTTGCAGCCAGATGCTTTACAATGGAGAGAATCATGCCCTTCATCTATGTGTACAGATCAGTATCAACAGGAGCCATTATTTCCTGCATGTGGGGTGGTGCTTTTTATCCTGTCTTTAATCTGTGTTTTTATTTGCCTTTCCCAGGCCTATTTACACCACACATGCCTGAGTGATTGTTGAGAGAAGCCGGAATTAGCGGCTAAGACAGCTGGAAGGCTAGACTCTCGCTATTGATAAGGCCCATCTGATGCAGAACACACGAATGTTTGACAACCAGAGGCGTTACATGCGAAACATGAGGAAACCAGAGCTTCCCAGAAAAACAAACAAAAAAAAATACAGAAAAGCCTTCTTTTGCTCTCTGTAGCCCAGGTGGCAGGCACTGGCTCTTGCCACAATGAGCAAAACTAAACAAGTTTCTCTTTTTTGTGAACATGACAAAATGTGAACAGCCAGCAGAGAAGTTCTCTTTTAGATTATTCATAGTAGGTCACTGGGTTTAGCTTCACCAACCAGTCCCTGTCCCATACCTTCAAGAAACTCAGCTGATGTCAAACTGCTCATGCAAAGATGCCTAACAAAGGGGCTTGAGAACCTCCTTGGGTACCATCGCCCTGTGTCTATCAGATCCCCATCCCATCCATCTTGATCTCAAATCTAATTTCTTCCTTTCTTGAATTCGTAGGCGATGACTTACTCACTCTCTGATGACTTGCTCACTCTCTGTATTCACCATCAAACATTTATTGAGCACCAACCATGCACTAGGCAGAGGCTCATGGTATAAAGACACATATATTCTGTCCTCAACAACTCACAGTTTAGGAAGGGGACAGACAAGTAACAACTAGACAATCATAGTAAGAGTGTGATCTGTGCTGTGATATGCCGGGGGGTTGGGGGGATGGAGGGTAGATATGTAGAAGAAGAAGGGGTCCTACTGGATTGTGGAGGAGGGGGGACTAGCTCACTTTTGTTGAGGCAGGGGGTCAGGGGTTGGTCAGGATAAGCTTTCTGGAATGGATACTATATAAGCTGTTGATTGAACACAAGAAGGAGTGAGTCAGGCAATAAAGCAGGGTGTTTCTTGACAGAGTATATCCCCAAACAGCCCTCTCCAAACCACCGGGAGAGATGGGCCCATTGCTTGGGGCCCAGAACAATAGCCAGAAGCAACCAGAGCCTCTTTCTCTTCAGCGCAACACCTTTCTCTGGGCAAAAGAATATAATTCACACACCCCAGGGTCTCCCTTTCAGGGTGTCCCTAGGAGGAAGGGTGGTTTGGAAGGCCCAAGAGGTCTAAGGATGCTGGGGCCTTGGGGGAAGGAGTTCAATTTGGATCCCCTAACGCCAGTTGTAAGTTAATGGAATATTTGTGGCTACACAATAAACAGAAAAGGCTCATAAAATAAAGGTCTCCCAGGATCTGGGTTCAACCTGACCTTGAAGTGACCAGAGGCTCCAGGTGGAATCAGGTCTTGTAGGTCATTTCCCAAACAGACCTCTCCAAGCCACTGGTGTACAGGTCAGGAGCATCACATAGTCATCCTGCACACCTCAGCTGGGCCTGTTGGCCACGAGTTACTTTCTGGGTCATGGCCTTTGGCATGGATAGTGCTGTCAGCTGCTAAGGAGACTCAACTGTATTAGTTCTATGCATACAGCTGGTTAGCATTTCCTGGTTAATCATGATCAGTACCAGAACTCGCCTGAGTTAGCCCTTCAAAAAATATTTATGAAATGCCTACTGTGTGCCCAGTACCTGGTTCATGTTGCCTTCTGTCATAAGTCTTAATTTTGGGGTGATGAAAAGGTTTATCTGTTTTCCTACCCTCTTCTACAGAAGTCTATTTCCCAGCAGGAGAGTGTACATAAAATATACAAAATATCACTAAGAAAACATGTTGTCCTTAGATGTAAGTAGACAACTAAGCCAAAACCATGTGGCTGGACTAGGGAGGATAATCTCTAAGATTCTTTCTAGCTCTATCTCTGAGTCTAAATCATTCTCACTTTTTTATCTGATTTGATTTGACACCCATCACATGGTTTTGTGAGCTGGTTGACGAGGATGAGGTTTACAATCTGAAACTATGAACAGAATTTTTCTCCATGCAAAGCAATGTCCCAAAGAAGGAGTACATACTCAGAGAATCTGCTCACTCATTGTTCATACCAGCCATCTTCTCAGGATGGAGCCGAAAAATGACAGGAAATGGACATTTCATTCTGAGCTGCAGATGCACAATGCCAGACAACCAGCACCCGGATTTTTCCTTGCAACTAGATACCCGGGATCTCAGCGTAGTATATGGGATTTGAATGTTGACTGGCGCTAAGCCCACTATCATTGCTTTGAACCATGTGGCCACTGGAGCCGTCTGACCGAAAATAATCTCCAGCCCTGAAGCTAGCACTGTTCCTTCCACAGGATGATCCTCACCTAGTGACCCCTAGGCTGCTATAAATCCCATGACCAGGAACACTCCTGTTGCAGGTCAGTAACAGGCCTCATCTGGACAGTAAGTTTCTCCAGTTCCTCTGGGGTTCCCATCCCTCATTTACAAAAGCCTTAGATGGCCCTGGTCCCTTTACGTCACACCACCAAAGCTAAGGCCGCACTGTCTGTTATGATAGTTTGAAATGTACTGACCATCAGCTCTGCCTATCAGCATGTGAGGCCCCAAGGAAATAAAAGTCCTAGAGTCCTGCGTCAATGCGCACAAACTCATAACTGCATCGTTGCAGTTCCTCAGCTACTCCCTGGTGGCAGATATCCCAGACTGTGATGAAGCAACTGAGAATAGCACAGACAGTGGGAGAATCTGACCCGAGGCTTCACAACGTCTTCTGAGATGGTCTTGGGGAGTCTGGACAGAGACAGAGCCATTTGGGGACCTAGACCCAGAGATTGGAGGCTGGTGTCTCAGACATTTTAGGTAAAATACTAGTAAATGGATGGATGGGATGGAGCTCTTTCTATTTCAATCTTTACCGCATCCCCGCCAGTGCCTGGAGTCTGACTCTGCTCGTACAGGAAGCTCTCACCCAGCCGCTCACTCTGATCGTCATCTATTGATTCTGGACAAGATAGTGTCCAGATCCCAGCCTGAGTCTTCCTGCCTCCAGACTAAAATTGCTAGGAAGTCCTTTTGAGGGAACTCCACTTAGCAGCTGTATTTGCAGAATTTCTTCATGGGCTTGTAAATAGACACACACATGTAATGTTTTTCTGTCATCAATCGGCTGCAGGAGACTGCCGTCATTATTCCAGCTTGGTCCTTACCACACGGCTTTGCACTTGAGATCGTCATTAGTTACCTGGGAGCTCAGCATGTTTTCCTCTCTGCCTCCCTCCTCCCCTCCCTCCTGCCCTGTGAGGTTAAGAAAATAAAGATAATAACAGTGCAAATCTAGAGACTGGATATGCTTCCCGCAGAGTGCTTTAGGAATAAAGGACGTTGCTGTGATTTTTTTCTCTGTAATTGAGAACTCCTTAAAGAGGACCTCACATTTGCACGCTGGGCAAAAAGCCAGAAAACGGAGCTTCTCTGGTCCAGTGGGGATGGCGGGGGAAGGGGGAGCTCAGAGGCCTTTCTCTGAAAGCCCCCTCCTCCTCTTCCCCAGCACTTCCCACCTAATCGTGCTCTGGAAATGCCACTCTCCGCACCGTCCCCAGCCTCAGTTTCCCCGTGGGCTCCTTGAGGGAGGCTGCCTAGCCAGACATCCCCGCCCCCACCCCAAGTGGCCCGCTGGCAGCTGCTTTTACAGTTCTTGCCTGTTAGTCATGAGGTGCTCCTGTTGTCTATTCAGAGCATTTCTGTGTAATTCTTTTCACGTTCCCCTTTACTCTGCAAGTGGAGATTTCTTACCCAAGAAATAACCCCTCCTCTTCTCTCTCTTTCCCGGCCCCAAACACTTCAGCCTATCCCAATTAAATGCAGATTCAATTAGAAATCTCCTTTGGGTGCAGTCGCTAGCTAATCCTCTTTTTGTCTGGAGCACAAAGTCAGTCCCTGACTCAGGCATTCCTTGAATTGGCTTAGTTTGCCAGAAAGACTTTTAGGAGAGAGAAGAGAAGCCGCTGGACAGCGAGGCACAGAATTCAACCTACCTCCACTCCTTGCCTTGCTTGTCTCCTGGAAAGGCTTTCTTGTCGGTCCGGACTCTACAGGACCTCAGCGCCAATCTCTGCACAGCTCCAGCCTCCTTTAAATTTCAAGGCAGGGGGTGGGGTCGGTGGCCCCGGGTGGGCGGGCTTCTCTGCAGCAGGAGGATGCCCAGTGGACAGGGCCATGAGGGAGCCAAACAGGGCGGGCCTGTTTTCATAAAGAGGGGGAGGAAGTTCAGGATGGAAGCTGCGTAGCCCATCCTGGCTCCGGGCCAGCCTGATTATTCACAGTCCTGATGTCATCGAATACAACAATTTGGGAGTTGGACAGGACCCTAAGAGTCATCTTTATTTTTTAGAATCCTAGTCTCAATGACGTAAAAGGGACTCTCAGGATCCGCAGGCTCTACGCCTTTATCACAAAAGGAGGTCTTCACAATTCTAAAGAAATACACACTGAGGAGGCCGAGGGGTTCTTCTGGAATCTCCAGCTGTAACTCCGCCCCTCTGGACACAAGAGGTTGGAAGGACTGGCCAGGTGGACCAGCTGCCCTCTGGGCAGAGGAAATGCCAGGGTTGGAGTGTTTGGGGTAGCGGTGGGGGCATTTAAGGGCAGGCACCTGCAGTGGAAAGTGCCCCAGCCTAGAATCTGCTTCATCAGGCACCTGCCCTGCCACTCCCAGTTCTGTGATTATGAGGAAAATCATTTCGCTTCTCTGTAAAGTGAATCAGTGATCACTGAGGTCATCTCAGCTGCAGCATTCCCTGAGTGGAATTCAGGTGGGGGGCGGAGGGAGGGGGTGCTGAGCTGAAATTCTATCACTGCCATCCATCCCTTAAACTGATGGAAGCGGCTCAGTGTGCTGGAGTTGGCTCTTTAATGTAAATGCTCCTGGAAACAGATAACCTGTTTGACTTGTTAACAGATGACTGATAAAAGCAGTGCGGTGTGGGGCAAGGCTTAGGCTTGAATCAGCTCTACCAGTCATGAGGGACGTGAGCTCAGGCGAGTTTTTCAGTTACGCTGAGCTTTCGCATCTGCAGGTCACGTGTGAATTAGAAACAATGTGCGTAAGATCACAGTAAGTGGCTCATCACAGTAAGTGGCATGTGTTGTTATTGGTTGCTGTCTAGCTGAGACCAGGCATTGTGAGCGAGGAGTAAGAGAGAGGATGCCAGGAGAAGGGACAGGTGGATGGCAGAGGACGTTGTGGGACAAGCAGCTATTCTAGGAGAGGCCAGATTTCATCTATTCTGATTCTAAATGTGCTCATATTTGTGAAGCAATGAGAGCTGATTTTGAGGTTGGAAAACATGGCAGTTGTAACCAAAGTCAAACTGTTTTTTCCATGTTTTTATCAAGATGTAGTTCTGTCAATGGCCATTATTAGAAAAAGGGAAATAGGGGGCCAGTTAGCTACAGAGCATTGGAGACAGGACATCAGATAAGCTGCAGCAGAGGGCGGCCCTGTCCCACGGAGACGTGTCTATTTTCCTGTGACATGGTATGCCATGACGAGGGGCTGGGGCTTTCTCTGGCATTTTGGTTCAGCAGGAGTGCAGGGGTGGTGGTGGTGGTAATGAGACTTTAACTTGAACTCCTGGAGAGGGTGATTTGCACCTGAGCGATCACACTTAACTCCTCAGATCACAGAGACTGCAGTCTGGGTATTGGCTCCTAAGGCCTGGGCAGTGACCGCTGGGGAGATCAAGGAGAGGAACAGGGAGAATCCTTCCCCACCACCTGTCAGGTCACCTACAATGCCACCTTGCCAAACTCATTCCCTTCGGTTTTTAACCACCACTTAAAACACAAATGTGATCAGTAAACCTGCGTCTTAAGAAAGAGAGGGGTGGGCCGAGAGCAGGAGATTGAGAGGATGGGTGTGCAGGTCACCAACAGGTGCCCCTGAGCGTTGCTGAAATACTCCCAAATGACTCACACCAGTGGATCCCTGGTGCTAGCACGCACGCACGCTGGGGCCTCTGTGTTCCTACGGAATGTGAGATCGTTTTCCTTTCACAGACTCGGGGGATTCTGGGCCAGCCTGAGAAGGAGGAGGTGGATGGAGGGAGGTTAATAGGAACACAATGGGAGCCTTGATTTTAGTCAAGGGATTGCAGTGGGGGCGGGGGTAGGGGGTGGGGGGGATGAGAATAGATCTTGGTGAAATCACATCCTGGCAAAATTGTATCAAAGCCCTTTGCTTTCAAGGAAGGGAAATAAAACCCAGGCCCAGATAACACGGAGACAAAGTGGGCGCAGGGAAACCGGAAGAAAGCATTCGTACAGAGCTTGCTCAGCCTGGCACTATTTCTGAGGTGAGGCCTCCCCCACCCCTCCCAGGATGGGCAGAATGCGTCACTAGCGGGGACATCTTATCTCCAGAGTGGGCACAGGGATGGGGCAGAAGAACACGGACCACTGAGATCCCATCAGCTGAGTAAGAAATGATGTGATGTCTGTGGAAACTCAAGCAAAGGGCGATGGACAAGAGGCTTATGACAAAGCAATTTTTGATCAAAAGACAGAAAATTTGTGTATAATCTCAGAAGGTTTAATTTTGGAGCTATCTGGCTTTTCAGAGGCTGGGGTGAATAGCACAGTGGATTTGAAATGGTGTTGTTATGACATGCACTGTCTAGGCCTTCATCTAGACTAGAGATACCAAGTTGGTCAGCTGTACCAATGACCACACCAAGAAACACCAATTCTTGTGGACTTTTTAGGGCCGAATGCCTGGGAAGTGCCCTTAAGTATGGTTGTTCTTGTTAAGAATCGTTCACCAGGCCGTATGAGGGCTCTTTGTATTATTCTTGCAACTCTTCCAAAATATTCTTGCAAATGACTTTCAAAATAAAAGGTAAAAACTGGGTTGTTCTCTCGGGGTAGTAATTCTACTTCTGAATATTTAGCCCAATGAAATAAAAATTTTAAATTCCCGTGCAAGGAAAGGATATGTACAAAACATAAAACTGGAAATAACATATGTCCTGAAATAAGGCAATAGTACTTTATAATGCAATATTGTGTAGCCATTCTGAGGATTGATAATAGAATTATACAGAATATCAAAATCAATCACATATTATATTACCACAAAGAAGTAGAAAACAAATTTGTACATGACCTGTGATATAAACTATGTGATATAAACCATATGTATAAATATATATAAAGATTAAAAGATAAAACCAAGTGTTGGAGTGCTGCAATTTTTGGTGATTTTTTTTCAGTTCCTTTCTCGAAGCCTCTAGATTGCTTTGGTAAAAAGAGACTTACGGGCTCCACACTGGGTCCAGCCTGTTCCCAGCAGCTTCTCTCTGACACAGGCTCTGAAAGGCAGGCTTGTCCATGACTGTGTGTGGGAAGGCTGGGAATTTCCCTTCACCTTTTACAGATTTCCATGAACTTACTCAAACTCTTCTTGAACACATCTCATTTTCAACCAGTTCCTTTGTGGGGGGAATCGAGCTTATCAGGGTGGCCTCCCAATTCTCTAAAACGGCACCTCTTGCCTTTGGGCCTAAAGCAGCCCCTTTGAGCTTTGAGGCAGAGCTGGTTCCACTCTTCTAGGAGTAAACATACGGGCCTCATCCACCTGTGCTCACGCCCTGGTGAGCTGTGCGGCTGGCAGAGAGAGCCTGTGGCTGTGAAGCAGGAAGTTTGCCCTTTTTTCTCCGAAATTAGTTGCATGTCTATGGGCAGGTTTGCCTTGTGCTTTAGCTTCCTTGTGTTTCAGAGGATTATTGTTTGGCGGAAAAGGGGAAGAAAAGGCTTTGAGACAAATGACATGCTATTGGTGATTTAATAAGCTGTTTCCTAAGTTTTGTTTCTGCAGCTTTCTCCCTTTCCTACATCTTTTCTCAAATGGGAAGCCCTTTGCAGGGGAAAATTTCTCCCTCTTTTTTCAGAGGTGCCAAAAGGGACTCGAAAGAGCATCTACTTGAGATTTTCTCCAACTGTCTTCTAAGCAGTCTTAGTGTCACACATGTGGGGAGGGGGAGGGGGGTTGTCAAGGGGGGGGGGTCAATGCTAATAATATTTTTTCTTTTAAAAACATTACCAAGCATTTCTTCTACAAATACCACTTCTCTAAGCTCAAGATAATTATGGGGAAACTGTGGGAGGGGAGCAGAGTATTTGGGAAACTGTACTTTCTGCTCAATTTTCTTGTAAACCTAAAACTTTCCTAAAAAATCATGTCCATTAACTTAAAAAAATATTTACTTGAAAATGCAAAATGCAGCCATTTCTGATATAAAATAACATTATGATGTATTTATGCCTATGTATTAGACATTGAAATCTAACTTTTATGGAGATTTTTGCAGAGATTAGTTGGTCTGTGATACCATCCAGTGCCATCTATTTATATTCAGGCATTTCCTATCCAATCAATATCTATAGGTATTCTATCCGCATCTTATGATTTTAAGGGTGTCTGTAGTCAATTAAGTTCAGGAAAATTGAGCTCTTCTAGTCCCTTAACTTTATTTTTCTTTAATTTATTTTTATTGTTGAAAGTATTACAGATGTCCCCTTCCTCCCCCCACCCCCTTTGACCCTTCCACCCCACTCCTGCCCCCTCCCCAGGCCTTCAGCACTGTATTGTCTGTGTCCAAGGGTCATGCATATATCTACTTTAGTCCCTTAACTTCGAGCTTGAGGACACTGAGAAGTGACCGCTCCAAGTCCCAGGGTAGGGGCTGCTGGCCAGTGCTGGAATTCTGGTGTCCTCTGCCTCTGTAAGCCTTTGTCCTACTGCTGTGCCTGGGGCCACCACACCTGGTAGCCTCAGGTGAGGTGCTTGTTTGGTTTCCTTTCAGCCTTTCTGGTCTTTTGTTTTAAAATAATGACAGCAGCCATAGCCCAAACCAAGTGGACCCGGATCACGGATCACCCGATGAGTTCTGCCCTCATGCTGACCCTGGAGTGTAGGTCCTTGCTGTGTCCGGCTCCTCACCTCAGCGATGAGGTCATCCTGACACGGGACGTACGAAGGGGAGGCTCTCCCTCAGTTCTGGTCATGGGCTGCGGAACTGCACGGTTCAGGGTGGCAGGAACAGACTGTTTACATTGGACCCACCTTCCACTGCAGTGACACAGGACTCCCTGCTCTGGAGACCTTCCTGAGCCAAGCATTTT